GCCCCCCCTGTCGCCTGCCACCCCCCTTGTCAGCCCCACGACTCTTTCTTTGTCAACTCGATGGCCGCATTTCGAAAATTTAAAACTTCGCGCTGTCGAAATCGCATGCATACGAAAATGAATACGAATGGCGAATAAATAAAAAGCGAGTAGGCTTAATTTCGTGTGTACATATTTACACACAATTTACATTTCGTACGTTTTCATTTTCGTTTTGGTAGTGCCTTTTGCCATTGCTCGTTAAGTTGGGTTTGAAGATATGTATATGCATGTATTTCCAGCTAGATATTATCTAGCACCTGAAAAACCCCCCGACTTGACCTTATCCCCAGCCCGAAGCGATTGCAAACAGCTGTTCGGCTCCAGCGTCTATGATTGAAAGCAGCTGTTGTTGCTCAGCGAAAAATTGGGTCAGACTGTTGCTGTTTCTGTCGCTGTTGCCATATTTCTGCCGCTCCGCGTTGCCTTTTGCCGCTGGCAACAAACCAACCAACCAAACTTGTCTGTTGGCCAACGAAAAAAAAAAATAAAACCGCTCAGCTTGGCTCAGTTGGCAGCTCGTTGAGGTTAGCTCTGCTTGATATCACGCTTGAGATTGAGATCGGCTGTAACAACGATTGTCATGCGGTCCACGGTGCTGTTGGCCAAGTTAAGAGATGCGGCCAATAGAACAGAAGCCGCGCAGCAAAGCCATCTCGATCATGGGTTCCCACCAACAGAACTAATTTATTCCTTAGCCACAGCGAAGGAGATTGGTGGGAAAATATTTTGGTAGCTTGAAAACAAATTGTTCCAATCTCTATCTAAGAATAGGAATAGGAATTTATGAGCACATCTATAGCTAAATATTTATAGGAAAGCATTATTAGCCTTTGAAAACTTCAAGTGCTACATAGGCACTTCAAATATTCAGCTGGATCAACATGGAAATATTGTCTTAAAAGCAAAGCAAAGCTCAAAGTTCAAGCGTATTTAGCTTTTTACCCCTTTTGTCACATGACTGTAATGTTTCAAGTTGCTTTATTATTATAAGCAATCAGCTTTATTATTAAAAGCAATTTGTTTTTCAGTAAGCTTTAATTCAACAATACAGGTTTCTATATAAGTTATTTTTGCTTACTTGCGCACTGGTTTGCCTTAATTAGTTATTAAATATAATGTATAGATTGTTTTATGAATTAACCATTTTAAAGAACTCACAGCATTATGCCTGTGGCTTTTTATGGGCTCTTATCTTTTGAGTTTTAAGGTGAAGTGTCATTATCATTTGACCTCAAATGACACTTTAACAGGTTTTGTAGTTCTGGCTTGAGGTCTCTTGATTCTAGATTTCTATCAATTTCCTAAGATCTGAACAGGAAATCATGTTTGGGGAGAACCATTATGTACACCTTGTAGGTACTTATGTCTATATAACTATGTATATGTAATACTGATCCGATTGTGCACACCGTTTGACTGCGGTTGGGCTGATAATGAAGGCAAAGCCTTGGCTATAAATATTTCATTTATAATGTACTTACAAATGTGTGCGAGTGAATTATTATTACACCGACAGCTTTGCTAGCCATAAAGCGATGGCCACGTGTGTGCGTGAACCGCTCCCTCCCCTCCCCGCTCCGCCCCTTCAACGCGCCCCATTGGATGCGAACTTATCAGATGATCGCTTACAGCCCCTTGCCCTCCCCACTCGCATCATAATTAGAATCCGCAAAATACCAGTTTTGGCAATGGTGATTGCACCGAAAGAAATCATCATCATGGTTTGGTTTTTCCCAATATTAGACTACAATATATCAGGATGATTCAAGTAGACTATAGAGATTGAGTCGCCTTTTAAATATTCATCTGTTTAACATCATGTACGAAATGATCCGAATATCTGGCATCCGAATATCCGAGTAATCAGAATGCGATTCCCTGCGATCGAGGTGTGTAGGGGTCATTGCAACCGAGAGACTGGCTGCCTCTCAAACTGTGAGCACTTTTGTGCTGTAAGAGCAATAAATAAGCAAACAAACAAACAAACAACGCCAATGGATTTTCATTGTTCTTATTGCTGCGCGTGTGCCTGCAGAGCTTGAACTTTCCCAGTACAGTGGTGTTTGGGTACCTCAAACTACAATCATGGGAATATTAAACTATACACTCGATAGGGGAATTAATGGAAGAATTGAACTGTTGGGTAACATTCTGCTTAGTCTTCGTATTGAGGTACTTATAAACCAAGCACAAGCTGAGCATAAATACATTAAATTGCTTGGAAACCATTATAGAGTTATGAGTTTCCAGAGATTTCTGAAGAAACCTCCTTAATCTAAAAGTTCTGCCAACATTATTCAGTGCAAATTGAAGATAGCACTGCTTGACTGTATCTGCAGCAATATGCAAGCCACAACAACAGCACCATCTGCTGCTATGACCACATATTTACAGTTAATCGGTCGGACGGGCGAGCGAGCGGACCCCACACCACACGCCCACTTTGTCTTCGCCGCTCGTCTGTCACCGTCACACAGTTTGACACGCACTGTGGCGCTCACGCTCTCTGTTGTTTTTGGCTCTCGCTCTCTTCTGACAGCCGAGGCACAGTGGGAAAAAACTGTAACTTTATAACCACATAAGTATATACTTATATTCCCTTTTAAATAGGAATAAATAAAATTGAATTTAAATAAACTGCGTTGGAGCTCCAAAATTCGAAAAATATCTCTGGAGTTTGGAAAAACTTATCAAAGCACATTCTGTACCCCCGAACCACAGTGCGCAGTCGCTCGCTGCCGCGTTTCCCCAAAGCAAAACAGCGGTTGGGGGCTTCAGTTTAGAGAACGCTGCACTGCCGCTCGGTTCGTGGCGCGATCGATGGTCTTGGTTGGTCCCCCGATTTGTACCGATCCGATGTGTTATTTTCACCGCTTGCATATTCATTACACTTACACAAAAACAATTACGCGCCTCTGTTTTTTGAATAATAGCAACAAAGTGAGCCGAGCTGGGCGATAAATGGTAGACCATCCGTACCGCTCTGCCACATCTACATATTCACTTAACGTGACGTAACAGCGCGGTTTTTTGTTATTGTTTGGCCTGCTCCCCAAACGTGCGACTGACTATCTATATACGAATTCGAAATATATACATATGAACATATGTATCTGAGTGTGGCGTTTTCATGAACGCGTTCGTGATCTTTGAAGCAAAACAAAGCTAAAGCTGTCCATTTCACCGCGAAACGCAACATAAGGCAACGGCCCAATAATCATCGGTTTTCTATGTGTGAATATATACTGAATTATATACTTATGTACAAGTATAACTGAAGACCAAAATTGCTCACGTAAACCCTAAAGTATAGACGTGCCTACATATACATTATTTTTCTGCCGACGTCATGCCAACAAACAAGCAGTGGCCAGCGATTAATGTAAACTGAGAAACAACTTTGATTCTGGCCATGTTCAAGTAAGTTTCGGCCAGCCCAACGGTGGGCAACGCCTGGTCGAGGCTCTCAAACTGTGGCCCAGTCTTAACAGGTTATCGCCCACCTTCTCCGCCCCCTAATTAGCCTGCCCAGTGCACAAAATATAAATAAATTAATGCACACATAATAATTATCATTAACATATGTGGGCATTCAATTAAATCGTGTATGTTTGTTTCGCTCGTGTGTTTAATTTTCAATTCCAAGTGAAATAAATAAAATCAGGCTACAAATTATTGCTTATATAGCCACAGCATCATCAACAGCAACAATAATCTCTCAATTCATAAACAATAAATGGTCCACGAATTCTAACTACTCTTCAAAACGAAATATATTATCCAGCCTACTGATTTAAATATATTTTAGTGTTGTTTTAGAATTCAATACTCATCAACAACACTCTGCCCTTACTTAATAAGCTTAACCCTTAAGCTTAATATATGTAGAATTTGGTTTGATAATGGACTAAATCCCTGCAAAACCTATATACTGTGTTATTTATATATACAGTTCTTTAATGGGGAAAACCCAGTAGAACCTGATAAAATGAAGTCAATGAATATATTTTCCTCCGTCGTCTCACTGCCAAAATTGCACGAATAGTGAATACAACCTCCTGCTCCATATAAATATAAATATTTTTACGTATTCGTCTATATGCTATATAGCGATTTCAAGGCCAATATCACTTGTTTTCTCTTCGTACATTGGCAAGAGGCATTGGCCCCGTACCCCGAATCAAATGCTTTGCTTTTGAAATTGAATTTTTCACTTTCGGTTTGTCGAAGGCAAATTCACTTGCATTCGAATCTCGAAACGAAACGAATCGAGTCGAGACGAGGCGAGGCTAGTCTGCTTAGCATTGATTCAGCACTCGAATATCCGATCCGGCGGAGAGGGGGTTCAAAAAACATAGAACTTTGAAAGCAGACCAAGAATTCAGCATAGCAATCATACGTGGATTAGTCATGACGGCGCTGCTTCCGAGTTGTCTACATAGGAGGAAGGTATAGTGATTAACACCTGAGCAACCTGACCGAAACACGCACATACGCCTATACCACTACACTACTGTAGGCTGATGTTTTATTATATTTCCTTTAAAATGTGCAAATTGCCAAGTTCTAAGTTTGGCGGCTCCGTTGTTTACCGCAGAAATTGCGTCTTGGCTTTTTTGCTGCGACCTGGAGTGCCATGAGGAAGCGGGAGCAGCCGAACAACCATTTATATTGCGCATACTCCAAAAATGTTGGAGCCTACGCGTTATCGTCGTATCGATAACTGTGGAAAATAACAAGAATTTCGGTTTGGTTGGTTAGGGAACTGAACGGATGGGTGGGGGGAGAGAGGAAGGAGGTTATGGGAAGGGGTGAGGAATAGTTTGATGGAGCAGGCTTATCGCGCCAACAGCACACATAGTATTCATGTTGATGTTTGTTTAATTGATTTCTAATCAATTATCGGCTGTAACACAACTCTCTCTATAGTAATTCCCATTTTTCTGCTCTATTTGTAGATACGGCTGCTATGGATCCAATTTTCTTCTCGCCAACGAATGGTATACCGTCAGAGAGTAAACTCGCCACTTATATGGTAAGCTAACTTCCCCTCCCCAATCAGCTCTTATCAGAGTCCCCCAAAACATAAAAAAAAACCGTTTGAAAACAGGGCGATAAGAGTTGAGCAGAAGATTATGATAACACCACCTCCCACCATAAACCAACCATTGAAAGCAGCTGTTGGCCCCCAAGTTAACAGCTGGCCACGTTTGCTCAAGTATTTTTAATTATGCTTTATTTGTTTTCACTCAATTTACTAGAACCATTTCAGTTTCAACGCTCAGTCGCACATAATATACACTTGACCGACTTTTTCGGCTTTTTTCAATTTTATTTTTGGGTCCACTGACACACAAAGTGCCATATAAGTCGTATATGCAAGTTAAATATCAATTTGTGTTTATGCATGGATTTTGTATTTTCTCTGGGGAGGCAAAAACTGTGCGTACGTATATGTTTTGCGAATCTTGAACAGCTCGAGAATTATTAACTATAAAATATTAATGTGCCAGCCGCATAATTGCCATGGAATCGTGCTAATGGAAAAGTATACGGAATTTAATGGCATTAAGTGCTATATTTGCCGCTCAATTCATTTTTACAATGCGAAGATCAGCAAATCTAATAGAGCAATTCAATGGGAATGTCATGCAACCATAACAAACTTTAAACATTTCAATTTACGCAATACATACTGCAATTTCTGACATATGAAGTTGTGCTATTCAGATAAGATAATGATTGCATAGACGAGACAAACTCTCTGGTCGTATGAGTAGTATTTTTAGCAAACGGCACTCAAACCAAAAACCAATGATATTTTGAACAATCCTCCCTAAAAGACCCACTGATTCGATTGCACTCATATCTGTAATTTGTAAGATCCAAGTATTATTTTCTGTGCTATCTATAATTTTGAACTTTCACTACAACTGAATTTCTCACTTTTTTTTCTTTGTATCTCTTCGAATCTATCCGTCTACTCCGATTTTTTTGTGTCTCATCCCAGAATCGACAGAATGTCGCCACACCGAGCGGTTATGGGCTGAATAACGGGTTCTCACTACTTAATTTGGATTCGCCCCTAAATAAAAAGTCCCAGGTAAAGCCGTAAATATCTGGTTCCCCTTCCCATTTCTTCCCAATTGTTATCTGTGACATCCACGAAACGTGTTAGACTAGTGAATGTTTCCGTAGAGGTTTATACTAGCCCCTTAGTGCAGTAGTTAGTTTACTACGATCCTATCCATCAAATATTGCCCTACTGTGTGTTATTTACGGAAGTGTTTTCGTTTTCGATTCGGCAAGAGAGTATATTGAATTCCACGAAGCTTTGCACCTGAGCAAAGCCCATTAAATTGACTCCTGCCGAATAAGAAAATCGAAACAATCGTATATGGCTAATAACTCTATTTTAATGCATTTCCCATAGGTCACGCCGCAGTCGCCCGAGTTCATTCCAACGCGCATTGGCTCGACACCCAACTTCTACGCACCATATCACAACGCGCCCTTGCAATTGAGTAATGGGCTCAACGGCGTCAATGGGTTAACAGCCGCCGCAGCAGCAGCAGCAGCAGCCGCAGTTCCCTCCTCCACGTCATCGGCGTCCTCCGCCTCGGTGACCATCAGCAAAACGGCCAACGGCGGCGCCTCCATGCTCGCCCTGCAAAAGACCGCATCCATCGCCACTGTTAGCATCGCACAACAGCAGCCACAGCATCCACAGAAACAGCAACAGCATCCGCCGTCGGTGGGCGGAGGAGCTGTGTCCGCCGCCTCCGCCCCCATTGCCATTAGTGGCGCACCACCGAATCCCGCCGCAGCTCCGTTCGTTAGCAGCATGTCCGCTCAGACGCCGCTCAAGGGAAGGGGCGCCATGATGCGCCAGGAATCACCGACGGCAGCCATGATTTCGGGCGCAGGACCCGGTGAGAAGTCGCCACCGCACGGGATGACGCCACACGGAGCATCGCCCATACCATCAGCGCTGCCCACCAGCGTTCACCAGGTGAGTTAAAATAAACCTGCTCTAGTTATCTCTAGTTATCTCTTACATTCTTAATTCCGTAGGAGAACGTTGGCGGCACCATATACTTTTATCCGACTGCCAACGCACAGAACAGCCAGCCCGTCGTCAATTCCATGGTGGTGGACGGAACGCATCCGGCCCTACACGGCGTAAGTGCTGTGGCACCGATGAGTGCGGGGGTTCCGGCGGCCATGATGTACACGGGACATGTGTATCCGGGACCGTCCTCCAACGTGGTCACCATGCAGCCAAAGACGCTGCTGGAGTCGGCCTTTTTTATGCCCGACGAGATGCGCACCGAAGTCCTTGCCCGCAACGAGATCTCTAACCTGATCATGGACGCAGCGGAGGCTGCGCAGCACGCCCTGCCGCTGGAGGTGGAGAACTACCATGCGTTGTATCCCCTGGAACCGCCGGCGCAGCCGATGCACGCCAAGCTCACGTTCCCCGCCAGCACCTATAGGGCCACGCACAACACGACGGGCTACAAGTACTGCCTGCGAAGGATACATGGTTTGTAGATAGTAGTACTTTCTCAATTGTGCAATAATCAGCATTCCAACTGTACTTCAAGGCTTCCGCCTGCAGTCAACCAAGTGCATGACGCTGGTGGAGATGTGGAAGAAGCTGCAGCACACGAATGTGGTACAACTGCGTGAGGTGTTCACGACGAAAGCATTTGGTGATAACTGTAAGTGGGGAGAGGTCTTTGGAACCATTAGCTATAAGTGTGTGTTTAATGCTGCTCCTGGGAATTAAGGACGTTGTCATCTCTATAATAATGGGGTAATTAGAGTACATTAAGCTGATAAGTTTGGTTTATACCATAGGATTGCCAAGTTTGCCAGAAAATTATTCTATACATGTCGTGCATGCGATTACTGCTGCTTTAACTCGTTGCTTAATCTTAACTTGTCAGGGAATAATTATCACAAATCGTTATTCACTGATAAAGAGAGCGTTAAACTTGATTATATTAAAATACGGTGGCTTCAATTAGGCTGAAGACGAAGTGGGGTAAATTAGGTAAATTCTAACCCACTTAGCTACCATGTCAATAATGTTTATCGGGCACCTACAGCTTTAGTATTAGTGTACGACTACCATCCCGGCTCACAAACATTACTGGCCAAATACTTCACTCCGGCTCCAGAGACCAACGGGTACACTGATCCATTCCAAGGCGAGGCCCGCCCCTTCAGGTGCGTTTTTCTCTGACCATGATCATGTAGTTGATCCAACTATTGATTATTTGCTTATCGCAGTCATAAGAGTAACATGCAGCGGACGAGCAATGGACCCCTGCTACCGGAGGCCACCATCTGGTCGATCATCATGCAGCTGACCGCCGGCCTAAAAGCCATCCACCATGCCGGTCTTGCATGCAAGTATGTACACCCCCGTATGCAGAAACCCCATAGCCAGAAACTCACTGATTATTCTTTCCAGAGTTCTTGATCCCACAAAGATCATAGTGACGGGCAAGCGTGTACGGTTCAGCTCATGCTGCATCTCGGATATAACGCAATTCGATCCGAATGCAGCCAATCCTTTGGCCCTGGTTAATATGCATCAGCAGGTAAGATGGTGTTTTACTTTGCTGCATAATTGAAACTAATAACACTTTTTCGCCTGTCTTTAGGACGATCTGACCGCTCTGGGTCGCTTAGTATTAGCTTTGGCCTGCCGCTGCCTTCAATCCGTGCAACGCGACAACGTCCAGTCGAGCATCGATATGGTCACGCGAAACTACTCCACCGATCTTCGTAACTTCATTGTGTATGTATCATTTGTGACATCTTGTATAGCCACTCAACTATCGAATAAACGCGTGTGATTTTTAGTTACCTCTTCACCACCAATAACCGTCGCTCGGTAACCGACCTGATGCCAATGATTGGTGCCCGCTTCTATACGCAACTGGATGCCCTGCAGAGCAAAATTGATATGCAGGAGGACGAGTTGGCCAAGGAGATGGAGAACGGCCGATTATATCGCATATTGGTCAAACTAAACAGCATCAACGAGCGACCCGAGTAAGTTCACATGCAAATTCGCAAATTCTATTTTAAAATACAATCTTCACATCAAATATCCACTTCCTACAGCTTTAATCTGGACTGCACTTGGTCCGAGACTGGTGATAGATACATGTTGAAATTATTCCGTGATTATTTGTTCCATTCCGTCACTGAGGATGGCCGGCCCTGGCTAGATCACGCACACATTGTACAATGCCTCAACAAGCTGGATGCTGGCTCCATAGAGCGCGTAAGTAAAGTCGGAAAAGGTCGGCCAGCGGGTTCAGAGATCTCATAAAGCTAACCTGGCCCACACTTGCAGGTGCAACTGATGTCCCGCGACGAGCAATCGGTACTCATCGTCTCCTATGCTGAACTCAAGAATTGTCTGGAGAACGCCTTCTCCGAACTGATGTCAAGCGCGGCCAACTGAGCAACTCGAGGGAAAATAAACAACAAACAAACAGAAAAACACGCGCAGCTCACTTAGCCACCCTCCGCACGACCACAAAACGACTACGATTTAACGGATTAGCTACTAAGTGAAACATTCATTACGACTAAGACATTTTGAGAACCATAAACAAGTAAAATACGAAGATGTTTATTGTTAAGCCAAACAGAAAAAGAAACGTAAAACAAAAAAAAAAAAAAAAAAAAATGAAAACCGATATCCAATGTTATGTTAGCTTTTAACTAAATTTTAGGCATTTAAAACAATACAAAAGGAAACAACAACAAAAATAAACCAACAACTTTTTGAAAACGAAATCTCTCCAAAAGAAAAAGCAAAACACAAAAAAATGCAAACATTACAAAGAAAAAAAACAAGAAAAAACGAACTAAAAGCTAAAAAAATTTGAAAAATTTGTTAAAAAATGCAAAAAATACATAAAAAAAGGAAAAAAGAAATCACGCAAAACAGCCGAAAAAACATGGATCTATTTTTACAGAGCTAAGAGAGGATGAAAGTATTTATAAATATGTATTAAAAATCGAAAGAAAAAAATTGTAAAATTTTGCAACAATAAATAACTGTAATGACAAACAATTGCAACAGTGCAGCAAATCGTTGAGCAACAACAAAAAAAGAAAAATTCAATGCAGAGTAGATGGATAGGATTATGAGAAACGTAGAGAAACTAAGAAAGTCAACAAGGAACCACATCAAATGTTTAAAAAGCATGTCTGACAATGATCGCCTGCCTCTTCTCCCCAACAGTAAACAAAAAAATATATGGAAAAGAAGTTACGAAGCCTAAAAGAATTGGATAGGAACGAAAAGCGAAAGGCGCAGACGAGCTAGAACGACAGCCGCGAACGTTTTTTATTTTTCAAACTGTATTTTTTATAGCGAAATATTTTAAAATGGAAAAAACACAAATTTTCTAAATACAATTTAAAATGTTTACAAAACCCAAAAAACGAAATGAGAAGAAATGAGAAACTATGTATTTGTAAAGAAAATGTAAATGTTGGTTCATGGAACATGCAAAGCGACGCACAGCGCGACTCTAGAAAGTAGCTCAACGAGATACTCAAATCTTAATGAAAACTAAAACTGAAAACTCTAAAAAAAACTGAAACTGAAACCGATACCGAAATCGCAACTAAAATCGAAAAGAAATTGTCTAGGCCAATAGCGTGATATGTACATACATCCATTTTGAAAGAGTCTGCGACACGCAATATCTACATTCGAACCATTTGTGTTGGTCCATATTAAGATACGCTCTCACATGCCGATCAATGATCCAAGTGCATATATGTGTATTGCCACGCACGCGCTGAACATCCGAGTACAATATTTTGCTAATGAAAGTCTGTCTCTAGTTGTAAAACTCCTCCCCGCTATATTCCAATCCAATCCAGAAGTCGCGTTGCGCCTGCGCGGCCGCATATCTCCCAACCGAAGATGGAAAGCCTATCAAGATCGAGTCGAGACGAGAGATCGGGGTTACTAATAGGCTTCAACTACTCCGCACCACCAACAGATACCAAATCTCATGAAAGGGAAAAGCAAGGAACTTTTAAATACATTTAAGTACAATTTGATTTCAAGACTCGTAACAACTGCATATTGATATCATTTTTTGTTGCAACGACATAACGATGACGATGAGAGTAAGAAATCTAAAGGATCCAATTTTACAGAGTCCACTCACAATTCCTCTAAGCAAAAGTTTCCAATTTTGGCCATTCTATCCTAAGTGTTATAAAAAAAGAAAACAAAAAATATGCAAATCAGTAGATGGTTCGTTTACCAGCTTAGTGTGATTTATACTAATTTTGTACTTTACTTTCTTTAGACCTGATCAGACGGTTTATGCACTTGAGTTCTATTTAAATTTTACAATATTTTTCTTGATTTTTTACACTCTTGTACTTTTATCTCTCTTTCCGTTTGTCAAGATTACGGCGTACTTTATTTTTAAATTATTCTGTACATCAACGTAAGACTAATTATTTAATTGAAACGAAAAACAAAATGTATAAAACTTTTTGAGAAAACCAATAAAAAAATAATAAAATTTTTAAATCTTCTGTGTTTTCTTATTGTTATATATGTATCTGCAGTTTTTCGTACTGCCCTCCAAAAAATATATCATCAAATTTATATTTGTGATGATTGCATGAGAATTGGAGTATTAGAGTTAAATATATAAATATAAGTTTTGGGTGCATGCAACAAAATTGAGAAAAGAAGGCGCATGCGCAATGCGCATTTCACAATAGAGCGGATTTCAAACAGCGCGCTCTCAAATCTCTCATCAGGGGTGAGTTCTGTTTCAGCCCAAAAGAGAGCCACAGTTTTTAATGAGAAGCTACCGCGCTGGTGTGCTTATAATTCCCAACATGTTATAGCAGCCGCCGCATGGAGTAGCTGATGAAAATGATCATTCGGCACTCTGGTTTCTCTTCAATTGTCGAATAAATCTTTCGCCTTTTACTAAAGATTTCCGTGGAGAGGAACACTCTAATGAGTCTAAAATAATTTTTAGTAGTGCCCTGTCGCAAGACTGGGGCCATCAGAAATACATATGAAGAAATATTTAGAATTGGAATTATATTAAAACAATGGTTTGTTTATTTTTAAAGTTTGTTTTTATTTTAACTACGTAATTACAACTCTATAATACAAATTTATTGTTAAAGTTGAAAATGTACAATTTTCTCTGTGCCTGTTTGTATTATTCAGATTGGGAATGACATGGAGAGGAGAGGCAAAAGCATCGGGAAACTTTGTCGAAGGGGAAACTGTTTTGCTTGATTTTCAAATTCGTTAATCGTCAAATTTCGATTGATAGTGACTTCTTAGGCCGATTTCTTGTTGGTTGGTCTCTTATGATTATCACAGTTTGCTATACGGAAGTTTCGGGCATCTTCCATATAAACCTTTTTGTTACGAGTCATACGGAAATGCGAAAGTGAGTGTGGCGCCTCTCAGAAAGTAGTTCAGGATTTTTTGGGTTCATCTCATTCTCATCTTTGTTGTGGGTGCGAATTGGTAACTAAGACATAAAAACTACTTACAGCACTAGCTATACCTATATTTAGTGTAAAAAAATTCAGCCGAAATTTAGCAAGTTGTCGAGTATTTTTCGTAGTTAGTTGGAGAATGGGGACGGCGGCAGCAAAAGAGTTTCGTGGCAGTTTCGCATTACAACTAAATCTAGGGCATCGATTCCATAATATTAACAAGTCCACACGGAGATGGATGGTCTTAGGCTGGCGCCTCCGTGGGCGTGTGGCATCCCTCGACGTTCTCCGGCCAGTCGCAGACGTTCTCCTGGGGATTGAAGACCAGGTTGGCGGGACAGGGCATGTGGTGTTTCCGCTCGCCCTCGCACATGTAGTAGTGGGTGCAGTCGGCCCAATCCTTGTGGTAGCTGATGTGTCCGTCCTCCTCGGCGCAGGTCACGTCATGAGCTGATACAAATGGTGAGTATATATTCAAGGTTCCGTGGCTAATCGGCGCTAGAAACTTACGATCTTTGGTGGTGTAGGCTCCACGTGGGCCGTGCGATTCATATGGACCATCGTATTCCAACTCAACCTTGTAGTCCTTCAGCTCGTCGTTCAAGGCAGTCAGTAGCGGGTACTTACCACTGCCGCAGCGACCGGAGAAGTCGTCCATATCGATGGACCACACCATGATGCCTCCGAAGCCCTGCTCCTTTAGCCATTCCGTCTATTGATGAAGAACAAGTTGTGTAAGTATAGTGTTATCCATGACTTGCTCATAGAGTAGCTATCCCAACTCACCTTGGTCTTGAGAGAACGCTCATCATCGAAGCCCACCCACTGGTTGCCGCGGTAAGCGAAGGGCACCTGCTGCTCCGAATCCCAAACGAGGGTGGTGTTGTCTGCCGCCAGGAAGGAGCAGACCTCGTAGTAGCTGAGGAAGCCGGCTTCGTTGGTGAACTTGCCTGCCTTGCCACCGCCGGACGAGGGGGATCCAATATCGAATTGGGTGTCATTGACAAGCTCGAAACTGCGTCCGTAGGTGGGCATGCCGATAAGCAGCTTTTCCTTGGGAGCTCCCTGTTTCACCCACTCCCTTGCGCTGTAGTCAACGGTCAGTTTCTTCTGGTACCCGGTGGCCGATTCCAAAGCAAACAGAGGCGAATTATGTCCCACTGTGCGTTCCCATTGCCCGTGGAAGTCGTAGGTCATAACGTTGATGAAGTCCAGGTACTTCGAGATCTCTGGCACATCGTAGCCAGCGGCGATGGCCTCAAAGGAAGCGGGTACAGCGGCGGTGAGCAGTAGGCGTGGCAGTCCAGAGGATTTGGCCTCACCCTCAAAAGCCACCCGCAGTTCCTTTAGCAGACTGACGTAGGCAACCCGGTCTTCGGCACCACGGGGATACTCCCAATCCACATCCAAGCCATTGAACTTATAGTCGCGCAAAAAGTCGATGGCCTCGTAAACGAACTGATTCATACGGAACACATTCGAAGTGAGCTCCTTGAAGGGCGTGGAACCAAAGGCCCATCCTCCGATGGCCAGAAGGATCTGCAGATCGGGATTGTTGTCACGCAGAGCAATCACACTCTCATAATTCTCGGGGTCATCATCGGTGGCCTCTGTTAGCTTGTAGTCCTGAAGAGTGGCAAAGGCATACACGATGTGGGTGCACAGCTTGGGATCGATGTTCTCCGGCTGGAATTTACCAGCTCCAGGGCGCTTGGCCGACCAGCTGGTCAGGTAACAGAACACCTGGGCAGGACGAGCTGAAGGAATTCAGGTAACAATGCATAAATTGAACTTTGCAAATTGTCTTTTGTATACAACTTACTGTTTGAGGCGACAGCATTAGCTCCAGACTTGATGCGCTGCTTCTTCTGGGCCTGTGGTTTGCGCACCTTGTTGAGAATCTCATCCACAGAAATTTTGATGGGTTCCGGTTTCTGCAGAAGCAACGTAAGGTATTAGAAATAGGTCAAGCTGCCATTACGGATAAACAAACCTCTTCGATATCCTCAAATGTGGCAGCAACGGCGGTCCAGTTAACATCCTTGGCCTCCTTTCCACGTGAAATGCCGAGGAGTTCCTCCCGCATAGCTCCAATCAGTGGATACTTGACATTGCCACCGCACACCTCTCCCTTGAAGTCGTCCATGTCAATGGTCCAGACCATGGCACCTCCAAAGCCATTTGACTTGATCCAGTGCATCTTGTTCCTAATGGCGCGCTCATCATCGAAACCAACCCACTGATCTCCATCAACCAGGTAGGGAACCTTCATCTCGTCATCCCAGACATAAACAGCGCCATTAAGCAGCATTTCGCAGATCTCGTAGTAGGCCAGGAAACCACCTTCCTTGGTATAGACACCTTCGCGTCCACCACCCGATGCGGGGGCATTGGGACCATGCTTATCCGGATTAGCCAAAGTGAAGGAGCGTCCATAGGTCGGCATTCCGATGACCAGCTTCTCCTTGGGAGCACCCATCTTAACCCACAAACTGGCAGCATTGTCGACGGACAGTTGTTTGCGCCACTCGGAATCGGTGGATGGGGCATAAAGTGGGGCATTGTGTCCAGTCTCGCGTTCCCACTTGCCGTGGAAATCGTAGGCCATCAGGTTGATGAAATCCAGATAACTGGCGATGGCAGGCACATCATATCCACCACGGATGTTGTCGGGACCGACGGGCACGGCGGCGGAAAGCAGGAGACGTGGCTTCTTCAGTTCCTGGGCCTCAGCTTCAAAGGCTTCGCGCAGTTCCTTCAGCAGCAGAACGAAGTTCTTCTTGTCATCGGAACCCTTGGGGTATTCCCAATCCATATCCAGACCATCAAAGCCCCGCTTGCGCAGGAAAGGAATGGCCGAGTAGACAAAGGTCTGGCGGGTGTATCGCGTGGAGGACATGTCCTTGAATTTCTGGGTGCCAAAGGACCAACCTCCAAGAGCAAGAAGGATCTATAAGGTAAGTGGATTGGTTAAGTAAACATTATTATTTTTTAGACATTTCTAACACCAACCTTTAGTTTGGGATTGGCCTTTTTAAGGCTCATCATACGTTCGTACAGTCCGGGGACATTATCCTTGGTCTCATCGTTGGACTCATAAGAACTCAGCTTGTTCTTCTTCAGCCATCCAAAAGCGAAGATAATGTGGGTGCAGAGATCGGCTGGAATGTCTTCCGGAACGAACTTGCCAATCTTGACACGGTACTGCGACCAGTTGGTGTAGTAGCACACGATCTTCGGCGTGCCATCGTCCACCTTAGTCTTCTTGCCCTTCAGCGAGGATCCACTGGCCACCAGAGCGGTTGCTCCAGCTGCTGCGGCTGCTCCTCCAGCTGCAGCTGCTCCCAATTTCGCCTTGGAACGAAGGCGTGTACGACGAGCACTAGTGGTGGTAGCGGAAGTGATCAAGTCAATACGCTTTTCGGCCTCTGGAGCCTCAGTGGACTTCTTAGATTCGATGAGGTT